GGATGTTATGGTACCATAAGTGAGGTATCATAGGTATTATGTACTCCTCCCTTTCCATTTGTAAGATGCACCTTCCTTTTCGTTTTTTTTTTCTTTCAAAAATATGAAAATATTTGTAAATTGAATGCTAGCAACTTTTTATTTTCTCGTTTCATTTTTTATCTATCATTTTACTTTTTCTTTATATGGACTCATCTCTCTCTTTTTTACTTTTGAAAGTTAAAATAGTAAAATATTCACTTTATTGTGTATTTTGATATACGGAATTAGGGAGCATGTCTTAAGAGTGTACGGACCAGTATTTAATTGGTTGTATTTGTCTTACGTGTCTGTAAACGGTAAGGAAAATGGTAACAAAAAAATATTTGTACCTACTCTTATACTCACTTTTATACTCATTATGTTTGTGCAAGATTTTTTTTGCAATATCTTATTTTGTCAGTGCATATTTTGTACAAAAAAGTAAGACATATTTTGTACAAAAAAACGGATTAATAAAGAAAAAACTTTCGCTACATATAAGGATACATAGAACAGGTAATCGGAGAAGAAAGAAGTCCTTCAAATTTGAAAACTTCTGGCTGCGCGAAGAGGAGTGTCGGCAGTGGCGGAACTAGGGGGGCGAGCCGGTGCCGGCGCTCCCCCTTCTCCGACGGTGGTTCTGTATATATATATATATATATATATATATATATATATATATATATATATATATATATATATATATATATATATCAGCCCCGGTTCAAAAAGTATTCATATATTAAAGTGGAGTCGCTATTTGAATGTATGAGTTGTGATAGCCAAATGGTAGGGTGGAGGTTCGAAGAGCTTTGTCTACCTAAATGGTCTGGGTTCAATTCTCAAGAGCAACAATTTTTTTTGCTTTCTCCATTATTGCTTCTTTAGACTTTAGCCCATTTGGTAATTATTTATGTTCAATTAAATCACTCTAGGATGTAATGTTATTTAAATCACACTTTTTGAATTTCTATATCTTTTATTTTAAATTCTCATTTCTTCAATTCAAATTAATTTTAATCATTTCTTCTTCTAATAATGACATATACGAACGTTGTCATTTAATGTCAAGAATAATTCTAAAACTACTTTAAGTTAATATATGTATTTACCTTTTGTTTAGTATAATAGAATTTTTATTTGAAACACACTACATATACATATATATAAGTTTCGGATCAAATAAAAAGAGTTCTTATTATTAAAATTGATCGAGAATAAATCTTGTGCATTTAACTTGAGATCCGATGAGTCAAAATCAGTCAACAATGCACTATATTTTATCAAAAACTCGGTGACAATTTGATAAATAAATCAAAATTTTCTCTCATTGTGAAAAAGTGTAAAATAAATATCTACTAGTGTACCAAAACGAGTAAAAAATGCGTCCGTTCTCATTTTTCACGGGAATAACTTTTTTTATTAGAACCCCACTCTATATGTATTAATAATTATTTTCACTCGTTTTTATTTTATTCTAATAAAAAATTGTTTTTCAAAAAAAAATATAAGAACACCCTCTCAAATTATTGTCTGGTTCCGCCCCTGAGTGTCCGGAGGTGATTTTGAGAACTTGGATGAATTCAAAAAGTCTAGTGGTTTGGCAGCGTCTCCTGGGTTGCGGTGTGGAGCTTGAATTATGGAATGAGCATCCTCGGGTGGGTTTCCAAGCGAGAATTAGCTAGTCTGCGTATGGAAGGGGGGCGGTGGAATGCAGGAGAATTTCATAGGGTGAAAAGCATCCTAATTGACCTCCTGCAGCGGCAAAATACTTTCGGTCTAAGGGATGGAGACAGGAATACGAAGTTCTTTCACAATTCTGTGAAACAACGTAATGAAAGGCCGGCTACTACCATCTGGCGAATGGGAAAGCAACAAAAGTATTTTAGGGACCATGATTTTTATGCTGAATTATTTTCAGCCGGTAGTATGGAGACGGAAGGGAGCTATCTGCCAGGACTGGCTCAGATAAGTGCAGCTCAAAACAGGGAATTAATCAGACCAAGCACAGCTCTTTAGGTGAAGAAAGCGATTTTTGCTATGCATCCCGATAAATCGCCAGGGCCAGACGGTTTGAACCCGGGATTTTTCCAACACTATTGGGACATGCTGGGTGAGGATATTATCAGGTATTGTCAGGACCTTTTCTCAAATGGAGTAATTCCGAAAAAGGTAAATAGTACCCATCTTGTTCTAATTCCCAAACAAGAAAAGCCGGAAACACTAGGTGATTGGAGACCGATTGCGTTATGCAATGTGCTTATAATTTTTTTTATAAAAGTTCTTGCTAACAGATTAAAAGGAATTTTGAACCACCTAGTATCTGCTAATCAAAGTGCTTTTATACAAGGTCGTTCCATAGTGGATAATGTGATGGTGGCTTTTGAAACTCCATTTTTTGAAACAAAAGAGGCAAGGAAGAGATGGTTTTGTAGCACTTAAACTTGACATGAGCAAAGCTTACGATAGAGTAGAGTGGAGCTATCTCAAATGGATTATGCAGAATATGAACTTTGATCCCAAATGGATAAATTTGATTATGGCTTGTGGTTCCTCGATGGAGTATTATATTCCCTTTGAGGGCGATTTAATTGGCCCAATTACCCCGACTAGGGGGCTTCGACAAGGTGATCCATTGTCACCTTATCTATTCATTCTGATAGCGGAGGGTTTGAGCGTCCTAATTAGGAGACAGGAGAATATGGGAAATGTTTTGGGTATTGCGGTTGCTAGACGGGCACCAAGGGTCTCTCACCTATTTTTTGCAGATGACAGTTATTTATTTTTCAGAGCTCGGGAAAGTGAATGCCAGACGATTAAACATATACTCCAACAATATGAGGAGGATTCGGGTCAGCATGTTAATTATCAAAAGTCCTCGGTGATGTTTAGCCCGAACATAAGGGATGAGACTAAGGATTTTATTTGTAATTTTCTGGGGGTAAACAAGGAGGAGAGTAGACCACGCTACCTAGGACTTACGGCACTAGTAGGAAGAAAAAAAGTTGAGATCTTGGGTTACCTAAAGGAGTGAATTATCAGTAGAATTAGTAGTTGGAATAATAAATTCTTATCGAAAGCAGGCCGAGAAATTATGTTGAAGACGGTCATTCATGCTATGCCAACTTACGCTATGAATGTCTTCCTACTGCCAAAAGAGATGTGCTCGCAAATAGAAACTATAATGAATGGCTATTGGTGGAGGGGCTCGGACCTAGCCAGGAGGGGAATCCGCTGGAAAACATGGCAGGCTCTTTGTTATCCAAAGCAAAAGGGAGGATTGGGATTTCACTCGTTGCGAGACTTTAATATAGCAATGTTGGGAAAGCAAGCTTGGAGACTAATCAAACAGCCTGATTCGCTAGTTGGGCAGATTTTCAAAGCTAAATATTTTCCAAATTGTTCATTTTTTGAGGCTAAAATTGGGAGCAACCCGTCATTTGTTTGGAGCAGCATTATACATGCCCAAGAAATGATAGATGGAGGCCTACGGAGGAAGGTAGGCAATGGCAGAACGATCTCGGTATGGAAAGAGAGGTGGTTGCCAGGGACAGGTGATGGCATGATTCAAACACCACCGCCAAATGGAATTTCGGACATGAACGTAGTTGCTCTTCTTAACGAGAGTGGAGACAACTGGAATGTGGCTAGAGTTTATGCTTTCTTCTCGGAGGAAGAAAGGAAAGATATTCTAAGCATTCCTTTGAGCAAGAGACGCGTTGAAGATGAAATATGGTGGAAGGCGGATCCAAGAGGCGTTTATAAGGTGAAGAGCGGATATAGGGCGTTAAGGGGAGAATATCAGACCACAGACTGGGTGGGATGGACAAAGATGTGGAATTTAAACATTCCTCCAAAAATAAAATGTTTTTTTGGCAGGTGATGTCGGGCATTCTTCCGACCTCAGTTAATCTCCACAAAAGGCGGGTTGATATTGACGGCCAATGCAGGGTGTGCGAAGAAGAATCAGAAACTGAATTGCATTTGTTTCGTGATCGTGAGGTGGCTCAAGCGGTCTGGCAGCACTTGGGGGCTATTTTCCTGAGGCATGGAGAAACCTTTAAGGAGTGGGTGAAGAGTTTTTTTGATAACTTGTAGCAGGAGGCGCTTGGTCAATTTGTAGTCACTCTGTGAAGCAATGGAAAGCTAGGAACGGAAAGACGTGGAAAAATAAATCAGTGGGCTGGCGGCAGATTACGGAAGAGGGAAGGTGCATGCTGAGTAACTGGCTGGAGGCACACTGGAAGGAGACAGAACAGCTGCCTAGGGAGCTGGTTCCGCGCTGGAAAAGGTCGTCAGCGGGCTGCATCAAAGTAAACGTCGACGCAGCTCTAGCGGTGGGACGGGACAAACGGGCTTGGGCGTGGATAGCCAGAGATGATCATGAGGAGTTTCTAGCGGGGGGCAGCAGGACGGTACAAGCAAATTGGACGGCGGCGATATCGGAAGCTATAGGAATTCGGGAAGCGCTTACATGGATCAAAGAACAACGCTGGGAGCGAGTAAAGGTGGAAACGTATTCCTTAATGATAGCTTCAGGTATCATTGGTCAGGAAGGAGATTCTTACGTTGACACAATTCTTGAGTATATTAGACACACTCTTCGCAATGAAGCTAGTTTAGGAGTCATACACTGTAAAAGATCCACGAACAGGGCAGCTCATCTGTTGGCAAAGGCTGCTCTTTCAATGCCGGATAGTTATTTTATTTATGATTCTCCACCTGATAGCATTGTACTCCAATTGGAGAACGACAAGTTGAATTAATATATACTACCTTCGTTCCTTAAAATTTTGTCAAAGTTGACCGACACGGAGAATAATAAAGTAAAAACTGTGTGATTGAGATTTGTGCAGAGGAGAGAAAAGTAATAGAAACCACAAAATAATTAATTAAAAGGGAAAGTGACAAAGTTTTTTTGAAGTCCCAAAGTTTTAAGGGACCGAGGGTATAACATGAGTACAACAACGATAAGGCCCGAGGTGGGTGGAAATGTGGAATTGGAAGTCCCGAATTGAAACTTCTTTACCTCTCTCTGATCTCGTTTCACACAGATCAAGACGGATACCTGCTCCGGAGAAATTTTGAGTTTCCGATCCTCAACTTACATGAGACGCCAGTTTCTTTGACCGTTCCCCTTCTTCAACACCCGCGACCGTGATGTCCCATTCCTCACATTATCTAAGGCAGAGCTATTTCCTGGTATTTCTTACAACTCTCCTTTTAACAGAGGAATTCTGGACTTTTATTGAAATAGAATGAAACTAGAGCCCCCTATACATTACATTTACACGTTTGGTTTAGGGTTGCTCACTGCGTGTAATTCCGTGCTTTGTATGTTAGTATGAAATGTATACATGCTCTCAGGCTTGAAAATTTGGGATTTGAGATCATAAAAGACCTGCAAATTTCTACTTCGGAATTTGATTATGCTCCTTTACTTCGCTGTTGCAAAAATATGTGCTTAGAGAAATCAATTGTTCCATCCCACAGCTAAGCTTATAGTTATGTACATGATTGTGGTTGCGCTTGTAAAGCACCACTGCTCCCTCTCGCAATCATCAATCATGGTTTGGATAAGAAAATGAAAATCTTTCTATGTATGTTCACTGCTTTCTTTAAAACTCAGATTTCGGTAGCATCATCCATCATCTTCTTTTAATGACTGAGTCACTTTGACCTTTAAATTCCTACTTGTGCCTCATTCATGGATTAGGGACTCACACAAGGCCCTTTGACCCTTTGTTAGAAACTTAGAATTAGGCTAGCCTTTTAATTTCTTCCACAGTATTTTTAAAAGATAATCTGTACTTCCATTTTTTCAGATAAGAGATGCCTGACCTCAAAGAGCGTCTGCTTCCACCAAAACCTGCATCAGCTGTTAATCTTAGGGATTCATCTCACAGGGTTTCTGTCTCTGCTCGTAGCCCGCTTCAAGTTCTGGATGTCCAAGGCCTTAAAAAGCGTGGCCAAGGACTAAGATCTTGGGTTCGTGTGGATGCTACAGGGAACTCTCAAGCTATTGAGATTGACAAGTTTACTGTGATGCGACGCTGTGATCTTCCGGCACGTGATCTACGTCTACTTGATCCTTTGTTTGTTTACCCCTCGACAATACTTGGTAGAGAGAAGGCCATCGTTGTGAATCTGGAGCAGATTCGGTGTATTATAACAGCCGATGATGTCCTGCTTTTGAATTCTCTTGATAGTTATGTCCTGCAATATGTAGTGGAGTTGCAGAGGCGGCTACAATCTGCAGGTGTTGGTGAAGTTTGGCAATCAGAAAGTTCTGACTTCAGCAGGAGAGAAAAAAGTAATCCGTCAGGTGATAACATGTTTAGGAGCGCTTCACCTGATTATTTGCCCTTTGAGTTCCGCGCTCTTGAAATTGCGCTGGAGGCTGCTTGCACTTTTCTGGATTCTCAGGTATAGTTTATGTCATACTGACATACTGTATGCTGCCTTCTATTTTTAAATTACATGTATATACCAAGAATCTTTACACTGTTACAGTGAATATCGTCAAATGTTGCCTTCGGTGGATCAGGAAGTGGTTGAAGACATTTTTATGAAATAAATAATTGGAACCTGCATAGTTGTCCGGGTTCATTCAGCTGAATATCTTATTTCCACGGGTTTATATTTTTTAAAATAAATGAGTTTTGTAAGATTACAGTTCATACAAATTAAACTTGTGAACTGTGTAAACTAAAGAAGAGATTGAGCAATGACAAAGAGCTTAGTTGTTCCAAAGAATGTCATTAGCTGTTCTCATAGAGGCACAAATTCTCCTAAACTTAATGATAGATTCATTTTTAAATAATGACCTATTTGGTAGAAAATTAAAATAATTCTCGGAAATCATTATTGTTACAAAAGGTCAGGTTTTAATATGATCCTAAGTGTTTAATAGTTTAGGTTTGATTTTGAATTTGTGAATTTGGTTTAGATTAGATCCCTATGCTATTTCCAACTAAGTTACTGATAAGGATGAAATTGGTATTTTATGCATATATATTAGTTTCCTTCCCCTTTCAAGTTTTATTTTATTTTCCTCTCCCACATGCCCACATGGTATAGATATTACTCCCTCCATTCGATTTTGGTTGTCCTACTTTCCTTTTTGAGTTGTCCCAAAATGAATGTCTTGTTTCTTTTTTGGAAAGAAATATGTGGTCCTTATCATTTCACTTTATTCTACTCAAATCTCAACCACAACTTTTACTTTTCAACCACTTTATTAATAATTGTGCCAAATTAAAACAGGACAACCAATCTGGGACGGAGGTAGTAATAAGTTTGATAATAATGGAAATTAATAAGTTTGAATGTAATAAGGTTGATTCCATAATAATTGAATTTACTAAGTTAAAAAAATGTGTGTGGGAATGGAAGAGGAAATATAGAACTGAATTAGAGAGAAGAAATGGAAGTTAGGTAGGCAAAGAGTTTTGAAATGCCCATGTTGTCCTTATTTATGGTTAATGCATGAATAACAAAACTATTGAAACTTATGCCCTGAGGATTGCCTCGAGACTTACATGTCTCCCAATCACAGAGAAACTTATGTTATGCTTCACCCAGGTGACTAGTCTAGGCTTATATCTTGCGGCATACCCCTCACGAGACGCATGGTACTTCCGTACTTGCTCCGTAATTATTTTGTGAAGATGGACCATTTTACATGAAGAATTGGCTCAGGGGTAATTATTTTGTGAAGATGCAACCTAATGAAAACATTACACTTTAGATGTTTGTTGTCAATCTACACAACATATCTGCAAACTTTTGCTCTCTTATCAACTGCTTTCTTCTATACGATTTTACTTGGTTTGTGTCTTCTACTTGGTTGAAGCTTTCAGAAGTAGCAGCCAACTTTAATACTTTTTTTTATCTTCAGAATACTATCATGCAATTACAATATTATGAACCAAGTTATAATTTACTACGAAAGTACTCACAAAATAAATATATTAATATTTTTTGGTATTACACTATTGCTTATATTACTATGAAAGTATGAAGCTTACTTGTGAGGCCTCATAATAAAGACAACAATAATCTTTAAGCTCATTTTAGCTTTTTATTAATAATCTTGAATTATTGACTGGTAATTACATTGGTATTTAATTGAGCCAAAAATACACTCGAGATCAAATTGGAAGTACTTTTACACATTTAGGATGGAATTGGAACTTTGAATTATAAATGTTTCGATAGAAAAAGAAATTTACTGGACTGTTACTTCTTTGTGAGTTTGTACCTGAATAGTTTTTTATTCAAGGGTCGTGTTGTTATGTTGTTGTAGCATTCACTCCGTCCCATTGGATTTTTCCAACTTCCCCTTTTATTTGTCCCACAAACTTTTTTACTTTCCCTTTAAAGTAAATAATTTGTGGACCTGTTATAGTAAATAATATAACAAATTAACAGTAGTTGATTAATAATCAAAAGTAATAACTAGTAGTATTAGTAGTGTTATCTGTGAATATGGATATTCTATTTTTTAGTAATGACTTATCTATGTAAAGTGTAAACATATGAGAGTAATTAAAAGAGTACAATTGAACATATGTTATGTTTCAACTAAAACATTCATTCCATATTAATAATGTTATATCAAGAAATTAACCTTTTGTAGAAACGTAAGGCTGCATTTAAAATGAAGATCATGCACAAGATCCTATTAGTTTATTTATATCACACTAAGGTCGTAGTATAGTCAAGATTAATGGATTATACCCAAGATCTGAGCCTTTTCAAGTTTCCAAATCGTTGTAGTTGAATATCCGTATTGGAATTCAAATAACCCCATGCAAGGGGCTGTTATTTCTGGACTTGTCTTTCTTAATTCTTTCTTCAAATTGATCAGGCAGCTGAGTTAGAAATTGAGGCCTATCCTTTGTTGGATGAACTTACATCAAAGATAAGTACATTGAATCTGGAACGTGTTCGTCGATTGAAAAGCAGACTTGTTGCACTAACCCGTCGGGTTCAAAAGGTATCCTAGGAATTGCTTCTTTTTGTTTTTTGTTCATAGTTTTTGAATCAGACATACTCTTTTTTTGATCTTTCACGTGTCTGAGGTTTCTGTATGGTGCAGGTTAGGGATGAGATAGAACAACTTATGGATGACGATGGAGACATGGCAGAAATGTATCTCACAGAGAAGAAAAAGCGTATGGAAGCATCATCAACACCATATGAGCAGTCTCTTATGATGGGGGGTGGGTCCAGGGCAAATGATGGTTTTGTGTCTATTTCTGCTCCGGTTTCTCCTCTTCCTTCACCTCCGGATAACAACAGCGACTACAGGAAACTTGAAAAGAGCTACAGCATAGGGAGAAGCAGACATGAAAGCATGAGAGGCTCAGAAAGTAGTAGTAGTAGTAGTAGTAGTAGGGTCACAGAAGAAGCTCATCAAAGTATAGAAGAGCTGGAGATGCTATTGGAGGCCTACTTTGTGGTCATCGACAGCACCCTCAATAAGTTGACTTCGCTCAAGGAATACATTGATGACACAGAAGATTTTATTAACATACAATTGGACAATGTGAGAAACCAGCTCATACAGTTTGAGCTGTTACTCACGACAGCAACATTTGTAGTCGCAATCTTTGGGGTGGTGGCAGGGGTTTTTGGCATGAATTTTGAGATTCCATTGTTTGAGCACGAAAGTGCATTCAAGTGGGTGCTTATAATCACAGGACTTTGTGGATTCGTAATATTTTTTTCATTTTTGTGGTTCTTCAAGTACAAAAGACTGATGCCACTTTAGGTGGGTTTATTATGGAAGGGGCCAATGTAAGTAGTAGTGATTATTAGTGGGTATAAGGAGGGTTCAGAAATACTACGTATAATATAACAGTGGGTTTTTAAACTGAACACGTAAAGCCAAATGTGTTTCTGTAGTGGACATTGTATGCATGAATGGATTCAACACACATATATACTTCAAACCTTTTGTTCACATAGACATGAGATAAAACCTAGTGGTTTATGTGAGAACAAAGTCATATCTATGCGTGTTTGTGCAGATTTTAGAGTAAAAGTTGATGTGAATTTGGTGTGCTGTGGCATTGTTATTCCTAAGAAGTAAGAACGGTGTCAACATGTTGGTGCCCATAGGAGGGCTCATTTGGTTTGGACATGTAAATACTTGTCTGGGAATGGGTCTGTAAGTTTTAATTTGGAGCTTTTTTTAAACCATCATTATTAATGCTGGGAATGGGACTGCAAGTTTTCATTTGAAACTTACGCCTAGGCAGATGGCCGATGAGTCGGGTGGGTGCAGAGATGAGAAACCGCCTCAATTCATTCACATTGAATGGGATACAGAGAGTACTATCATCTTAGATATGCTTCAAATGACTGGCTAAATTCGTTCTTCAATCAATCAATCCTATATTTGATTTATTCTAGCCAACCTCACCTTCTTCCGAAATCCATTCCTCCCCCAATTTTGTACTGGAAATTTGTACCTTCTTTTGTACATTATCCTCATGCTCTAGGTGTTTAGAAGAATGGCCGAATGGGGCAATTGTTTTTACATGATCTTTTATCATATTTTCAACTTCTCATTAATTTTTTTTGTTAAAATCAGGTGTTCCGACTTTACCGGATTAAATACTAGTCTTTAAATAATTCACAAGTCTGACTTAGTATGTCTACTTGTCTAGTGAGTGTAGTTAAGTTTGTATGTCTAATATTTGATTAGACAAAAACTAATGATAAATAGAAAAACATAAATAAAAAAAATTGGATATAGATAGGTTAGATACTAAAAGATTTGTATTTTTAATAATAAAAAATAAAATAAAAGATATACTTCGATATTAATTTGGTACGAGAAAGACTATTAGTCTATTATATCTTAGAAGTTAGAACACATTAATAGTCTATTATACCATGCCTATTGGGGGTTTTACCCACCCGTACCTTTTCATATCATATTGCCATAATATATACTCATCATTCATCAAACTTCAAAGTATTTTGGCAACAACATGTTGTTCAATGATCCATTATCCAAATCAATGTTATGTTTTCAATTTTGCATGAGAACGGTCCATATTACGTCTTCAAATAGTCTAGTACTCTAGCAGTCTAGTGTGGTACCGTGGTGTGTTCTCTAACTAGGAATGGACTGGGACGGGTCAGCCTGACCCAGGACCCGGCCCGGTACTGTGCAGGCCCGACCCGGCCTGGCCGGGCAGTATCAGGACTGGGTCCCGAACCGGGTAAGAATGGGGCAGGCTACGGGCTCCATAAATCGTGGACCGGCCCAGGCCCATTTTTTTGGGGGGCATTGGGCTGCAGCTAGGTGGGTGGGGCTAGGTTTTTTGGGGGGTTTCGGATGTGGGGGATAGGAATAAATTCGAAAAGCCATTTTTTTAAAAAAATGACCAACCCGACCCAGGCCCTATCCCGGTACAAACTCAGGGCTGGTACCGGGCCTGCAACCCAAACCCCAGTCCCGCCCAATCCCGTCCCGGAGCCCGGCCGGGGCCCAGTCCACCCCTATCTCTAACAGGTGTTATTAGTAACAATGACTTCTCAGTTTTGTTACAAATGTCTCAAGGTATAGTCTCTAGACAAAATGGTTGATTTCAAATGAATTGAACAGAAATGTGACACATTTGAAGCACACAATCAAGTATGTTGCTGCCCACTACTAGCCAGTTCATGGAGAAATATATGGTCAAGTTTGTTCATGAATGTAGTAATCATCAGCGCCATCATTCAAGGGGACGTTAGACCTTCATTTATGAGTTCTCTAACGCAGCAGCGGCCTTCAATGACCTTCGCCTGTTCTGAATTTGGTTTACAAACTCCACGAGTATGACCTGAAATTTTGGAGTGATCTTACTGGCTGAAGATACATTTAGGCCCGCCTTCTTTAAAGCCCGTGTGGCATGTTTGTCAGCCCTCTCCATATGGGGAGAGCAGAGAGAAGGAACCACAGATCTCAAAACTGGCTTCCCACAGAGTATGGGCCCTGCTGGAGAACTGCAAACAAATAAAGCATACAAAGGTCGTTTAAAACACCAGAAGTGAAATAGTTCCAAGGGAAAAATTCATAAATATGACCACAAGTCTAAAACTTAATAGAAAAAATGACTACAATAGCAATCCTGCAATTTCCAAAGACATAAATATGGCTGGGGATGAGTGTGAATGACTAGAAAACTGACTAGAAGAGTTTCTCTAGTCAACCATAAATATGCAATTTCCAAAGACATAAATATGGCATGGGAGAGTTTGGGGCAGGGAGTGGCAGCGGAGGGTGGGGGGGTGGGGAACCAGCAGGTAGTTACAGTGGCAGGGAAGGGGTTGGGGCAATGGTCGTGAATCGGCAGAGCAGTGGGGTCACTCAGAGCGATGGGGCAGTAGGGCCATTAAGTTTCAGGGACAGTATGGTCACTGGGGTGCCGTGGGTGGTGCAGTCACTCGTGTGTCGGGGATAGCGGGGTCATTGGGCATCAAGGGTGGCCACTGGGGTGTCGGAGTGGTGGGCTGACTGGTGCATCGAGGGAAGTGGGCCAGAGGCAGTAGGGTCAGGTCACTATGGCGCCATACTGGGCAGTGTGGCCACTCATTTACCGGGGGTGGTGAGTCATTTGTTGGGGTGTAGGAGGTTTGAATGCCACTTTCGTTGTTTAGGATTATTGTATAGGTAAATCATTTTTAGGAGACGGTGAAACTGGGTTGCTGGCGCCAGAGTCACTATCACTTACTCTAGTTTGTCGACCATGTCACTGTCACTTGGGTGTAACTAGGCGGATGTCATGGAGGCTTGGGAGGGGAAATTTGGTACAATGGATTTATGAGTTTCCAATTTTAGGACATATTTAGTCACTTCTTATAAACTCAAAATATTGTCTTTTTGCTATCCAAAGCCCCAACTTTAATATTAGTGGAAAACCCCAACTTAATACATTCCATAAACAAGATCTTAGTTTAAAAAGGCGCGAGGCGTTTGTAGGCGAAGGGTTCATCGCTTTTTACTTACCTAGGCGGCACAGGGTCTGAGAGGCGATCGCCTTTCACGCTTATTAGCGCCACTGATAGGCGAGCGCCTTTGACGCCTCATGAAATTATCTTGCATAGCTCTGAGCCCTTCCGAGTTCCGACTTATCTTGCGCTGCTATCTCGCGTCGCATAGGTAAGTCTTTTTTTTATCTTCTGCTATTTTATCTTCTGCTCAAGTATTTTAAGTTTTCTTTTATTTTCTGCGTAAGTATTTTAAATTCTCTTTTATCTTCTGCATAAATATTTTAAATTCTCTTTTATATTAAGTTCTTATATTTATAAAAATATTAAAATTATTTAAATAAAAAGTTAGATAACTGATACATATGTAGTATTATCTTTCGCTATTTATAAGTTTTGATAGATATTATTATTAACATTTTTTAACAATTTTTATATAACAGTTTATTACATTAATTATTTAAATTACTATTAACAGTTTTTATATAACTTAATTATTTAATTTATCACAAAATGACTCTTAATTGTTTATTACATTAGTTTGCAGTATTTTTTAGAAGAGTGCTTCATGTAGAAGTACTAAAAATATATTTAACCAAGGACATTTGGCTGAGATTAGGGCTGGGTCCGAAAAACCGAAAACCGAAAACCGAATCAAATTAAATCGAACCGTGACCAAATAAAACCGAACCGCTAAAAACCGAAACCGAATGTAAAAAACCGAACCGAACCGTAGTAGTTTGGTTCGGTTTTGGTTTTTACCCTTCAAAACCGAACTGAACCGAACAAACCGAACATAAATAAAATATGAAATTTTATTTGTTAAATGTAAGCATTAATCTTAATATCATCAATAATCTTTGGATTTCTTGTGCTAGAGAAATAATGTTTATGCTATGTTTAGTTTAGTTTATAAATGCATTTACACATTCATTGCCCATAGTAATGTAGTTATATTGATCTATTATGTCTTTTATGTATGTATGTTGCAACTTGTTGCATGATTATATGTTTTTACTAGTTATTAGTAGTAATTAACTTTTATTTTTATGTAACTTAATTCTTTTTTGTAACTTAACTTTTTTATATTGATAAAACAAATAAATATTCATCTCGGCTAAATCACACAGGACATATGTATTCATAAACGTTTTTCAAACTAGTCACAAACATTGTAAATTAAGATAGATACACTTTTATCTCTTCCGCATACTCATATAATTCAAGACATATTTGTTTATTATTATTTTCTTCATTTGTTCAAGTATGCTTGCATTTTTATGTAATATGTTTGATCCCTCCAACTTTTATATCAATTTTAAATTAAATGACAAATATTTAGTAAAAAATCGAAAAAATCGAAACCGAACCAAAACAAACCGAACCAATCAAACCGTGGTTTGAAGTTTTGGAGTGTAAAACCGAACCGAAACCAAACTGAACTTTTACTTTGGTTCCGTATTTGGTTTTAGGTCAAAACCGAACCCACCCGTGAGGCACGCACCTCGGGTAAATCAAAGAAATCGCCTCAAGGCGCCTCTTGCCTTTTAAAACCAAGAACAAGATCATTTGTACTCCTATCTACGCAATATGACTCATGTTTACTGACTTACTCCTATTTGCATTGACTTTTTTTGGGAAAACTGTCAAATCGGCCCACATACTTTTAACAAAAAGTCAATCGAGTCCATGTACTTTTTTCGAGTCAATCAAGTCCGCGAACTATCAAAAAATGACCAAATAAGCTTTTTAATAGGTAGTCAACCGATTACCCGGTTAAATGCCTCTGTGGTCGTCCTGGCATTTTTTTTACTGTTTTCCATTTTTACCTTTCCTTTTTCTTTTTCCTGTCTCTCTTTGCCACTTCCAAACAAACTTCGCCACCCAGCCTCCATATCCACCGCCTCCGGAGTCCGGCCTCCACCTTCACCACAACCGCCCCTTCCCCCATACACACCGCCTCAGGCCGCCACCACCTCTGTGGCCTTCCCCTTCGCCTCCTCCATTGAAGCGACTTCCAACTGCACCGGCTTCCATAGCCGCCGCCCTGAGACCACCGTACCCACAGTTTCCGGCTTCCACATCCACGGTCTCCGCCTCCGCTTCTTCCATTGGAATGACCTCCAACCACCCGGACTCCATAGCCGCCGCCAACTCCTTAGACCTGTAGTTGCTGACGGAGGAAGGGAACGATGAGATGGAAGGAGTTGCAGACGCATAAGAGGAGCGGACCAGGAAAGAAGAAAGAGAAAAAAAAAGGAAGAGGGAAAGGAAAAAAGAAAAAGGAAAAGAAAAATAAAAAATTTAGAAAACAGTAAAAGGAAATGCCAGCTCGACATCCACGTAGGCGTTTAACCGGGTAACCGCTGGACTACTTGTTAAAAAGCTTATTTGGTTGTTTTTTGACAGTTCGTGGACTTGATTGACTCGGAAAAAAAGTACGTGGACTCAATTGACTTTTTGTTAAAAGTATGTGGACCTATTTGACAGTTTTCCACCCTTTTTTTAATTTCCAATGTTTTATTCCTGCTGCCAAATTATATATCCATTATGTAAGCTGTTGTTGTTTTGCATAGACGTTTATATGGAGTTATAGCCTAATCAGATGAAACATCTTACCTTGAGATCCTCAATACAAAATGAAGAAATCACAAATCAGACAAAACAAAGCAGAACCTTATTTACAATAAGTTATGAGAATGTGGAAATGGTATATAAAGCATCCTATAAGAGTTTGGTGAGGGGCGAAACTAGATTTTCTGGGCCAAGTTTTAATAGGGGGGCGAAGCTCAAGTACAAACATACCATAGAACTAGCAATCTATTGTTAAATACTTAATGTATACACTTTGTTTCGGCTGTAGATGGTAACACAATAAAAGAAATAAGGAAATTTAAGAGGGGCTTGCATGCACTAGCTGTTTGAGAAAAAGGTTAAAACTTTTGGCTCAAGAACACTTTTGATTAATTGTTGTTGTGTGCACTCATGCATGCCTGTGGACAGTTATAGGCCTCATTTAACGAGTTCGGCTCAAGAGTTAATGAAGGGATCAATCATTTATTTAGCACCAAATTGGAAGAAAACTGATCCCCCATTACCTGAATTCTACAAGGATTAAGGCAGATATATGCAGTTGCATATAATGTGCAAAGTTTTTCCCCTTCTACTAGTAGTTGTTCAAAAGGAGAACTTCTAAAAAGCATTCATTTTGCAGTGTGACATTTAAAACCAGAAATGGTGGTAGCACATCAGCACATGTTTGTGAGAACAGCACACATGAGCTCAGCACTGAAGCAGATATATCTAGGGGGTGGCTTTTTAACAGAGTTCTATATAACAAGTTCCTTTCTTTTTGGGGTTTTATCCTTGCCTATGGGTTTAAGATTATGACAATTATCAAAACTATCAGACTATCTCCACCATCATGCTTCAACATAAAACTTGCACTTGCACCTTTGTTAATGCTGCAAATATACTAGATTAAAAGAAAATAAAATTCAAACATCATATGGAATCGCACTCATGCATCTCCAAGAAAAAGACAACTCTTATTAACAAAATAAGAGATTTTGAAATAGATATTAACTTATGAAGAAAACGAACAAAAAGCCCTAACCTTTTGATCACATAATTGCAAGCCTTGTAGAGCTTCTGCTTGGGATCTGATAGGATGTGCGCATGACAGAACCTCGTCATAGCCATGGCCTTCGTTTTGCAAGTGCTTACCCCACACCTATTACTAACATTGCTGCTGCCAATTAGGTTGTTGCGGTTAGGGTTTTCCCCATTTCCCAAAGAGGAATCAACGCGGTTCCCGTTGGAGATGTTATTCTCCTCATTGTCTTCTTGGAAAGGGCTTTTTCCGTACTCCCAATAATACTCTCTATACTTAATCTTCAACTCCTCCATCAAAGCCCAGTAGTATTCCCGATATATCCGGGCGAGCTGCTTGACCCTACGAGAGCGCCGCCGCAAAACTTCCGCCCGATGCAAAAAATTGGAACGGGCCAGAACCGCATCTTCCTCGAACCCGTCGATTAAAATCGGCGACGAGGAAGTGGAAGCAATAATTGGGTCGGGCATGCCGGAATCCACAGAGGATGTGTGCCCGTCACCGGCTCTGCTGTAATTGATGAGATTTTTCAGTTCAACTTTAGGGTTGAGGTTACGACAGTGATTCAAACTGCGCTGACCGGAAAGAGATAGGGGAGGGGGCGGCTGCGTAGTTTTGGAGGGAGAGGCGGTGATGGCTGGCGAGGAAGCAGTGGGCATCTTCTCTTAGTGGGGGTAAGGACGCGCGGAGGTGATGGCTAAAAATTAAAATTAGGGCAAGTGGGTAATTACAAATATTCCAAAAAAAAAGATGACACCGCGAGAGCCAATAGTACGTACAGCCGGCCCAATTAAGTAAGACAGCCTAATAAATGATACTACCTCTGTCCCTTAAAACTTTGCCAAAGTTGACCGACACGGAGAATAATAAAGTAAAAACTGTGTGTTTGAGTTTTGTGCAGAGGAGAGAGAAATAACAGAAACCATAAAAAAATTGTTTATAAGAGAAAGTGGCAAAGTTTTTTGGGACGTCCCAAAAAGGAAAGATGACAAAGTTTTAAGGGACGGAGGGAGTACATGCTAAAAAAATCGGTGTCATTTTTGTAATTTAAGCAAAAAGTCACGGGTTCCGCTAAATGAGCAAAATAGTGTACGCTTAATGAGCATATGAGTTATTTTATTGAGAATTAAGAGGGTAGCAATGAGTTTCACGATATCTGTTTCATATCTTCTGATTCAATTTTTTTTTTTTTATTCTTTTATAAAAACTTATTAAATTATATCTATAATACACTCCTATAAATTTCAATATGCAAATTTAATGTAATATGATACTTTTGAAATATGCATTGATATGATATTTTAAAATAAGCATAATGAACTTTTAATGTGCATCAAACATTTTAAAATGAGCATAATGAAAATCGTAAGGTTGTTAGTTTGACATAACGACATTTTCATTGAGCATCAAACCTCCTTTATTGAGTATTGAGATAAAAATCATAGTTTCTGTTAAATGAGCATTAATGAACTTTTAACGTGCATCAAACTTATTATGAGCATTAAAACACTTTCAATGAGCATCACACTTATTCGGTTGAGTATTAGGAACCTAACAATGAGCATAGTACTTTTAAAAATGCATTGATATGACATTTACAAAATGAGCATAAGATCAGTACCAGATGAGCATACGTAACTTGCAAAATACGCATTCGTATGAAAATCGTAAGGTTTGTTAGTTGAACATCATGACATTTTCATTGAGTATCAAACCTCATCGATTGAGATCGATGGAAATCACGATTTCTGTTAAATGCTCATTAATGAATTTTTAATGAGCATCAGACCTATACAAATGAGCATATGTAACTTACAAAATGAGCATCGATATGAAAATCATAAGTTTTTTAAATTGAACATCAAGACATTTTCATTCACCATCAAATCTCTTCTATTGGATATTTATTAGACATGCAATTGAGTATCAAGGTATGTGCTCGATCTAGTATCTATAAGGAAAGATGGCAAAGTTTTTTGGGACGTCCCAAAAAAGAAAGATGACAAAGTTTTAAGAGACGGATGAAGTACTTTTGTAGTATGGATTGATATAACATTTTAAAATGAGCATAAATCCAATACCAAATGAGCATACCGAACTTACCAAATGAGCAATAATATGAAAATCATAAGCTTTGTTGGTTGAGTATCAAGACATTTTCATTAAACATCAAAGTTCTTCTATTAAGTATAAAAGCATGCAATTTATTATCATGATCTATGCCCCCATGTGAACCTAACATGAAACTTTTGAAATATGTATTAATATGACATTTTAAAATGAGCATAAAACCAATACCAGATGAACGTACGTAACATACAAAATGAGCATTAAAAAATTCAAAAACTCATTTGACAAACATAATTATAACAAATATAATAATTTTATATTTTATAAATAATTTATAGTTTTTCGTTCTGGAATTACAAATATAATCGGTTTTTTATAATGTTTATCTATGCATATTTATTTTACACTATACTCATTTTAGTATAATACAAAACTCGTGTTAGTAATTAGCACATAATATTTAATAAACTAATAAATATTCATCTTAAATTAAAAATAGAAAAATAAAAATTAATACTTTAAATATTCATCGGAAATTGAAAATTTGAAATCAATGAATAAGGTGGTTAAGAAAAAAAGGAAAAACAAGTAAAAATTGATCTATGTAAAATGCAAAAGAAAAGAGACGTAGTGCATTTAGGCTCCACTTGCGCAATCCGCTTAGGAAGAAGTTGGCCGGCTAAAGATAGCATACCTAGTGTCGTAGTCCATTTAGGCCGGAAAGTACAAGGTCGAAAGAATCACACCAAAAATTACAAAAATACCGAGTGTATGTACTGTATAAATTGCTCCCGAGAGCCCTTTAACCCAACACCAATATTCCATTCTCTAACCAATATCATAAGGAATAATATTCCTTATTCAAAATTAAATTATTTTTTATATTTTATTTTATATATCATTATAGCTCGATTCTTGCCAAAAAAAATATATTTTATATGTTAATATATAATATGAAATTGGGCAATTTATATCCTGGGATCGGCGCACCATGAGGATGGTGCGCCCGATCCCAAAACGACGTAGCATCCTTTATTTTTTATTTCTTTTATTGTTAAAAATTGTAATAACTTTTTTATTTGATATCCGATTTTTATAAATTTTATATCAAATTTTTTTATTTTTCATGATCTATCAAATGAGACCAATATTGCTTATGTAATTTTAACAAATTATTTTGAAGTTACATTTGATAATATATCATAAAGTTACATCTTCCTCTGCGCGAGTTACATCTTATTGTACGCGAGTTACATCTTAATATACGCGAGTTACATCTTAATGTATGTGAGTTACACCATGAAATAAACCCCTGCTACATCTTTCATTTTTATCATTTGAAAAATAGTGTATGAATATGAAATACAATACTTATTTTATGTGGATTAATAAAATTTTGTATTAAATTGGCAAAGAAAAAAATTAATTCAGTTATAATTGAATTAGTTGAAGATAAAGATAAGTAAAAAATCATAAATAATTAGATATAACTCACACATAATTACATGTAACTCGCGCATAAAAGTATGTAACTCGTGTATAACAAGATGTAACTCACACATAATTACATGTAACTCGCGCATAAAAGTATGTAACTCATGTATAGCAAGATGTAACTCACGCATAACAAGATGTAACTCACACATAATAACTTGTAACTGGAGTATAAGATGATGTAACTTCGTATATTATCGAATGTAACTCCAAGCTAGAAGCAAAATAAACAAATTCAATATCTTAAAAACCTCTAAAAACATATAAAAGTGATAAAAAAATATATTATAGAAAAGTGTGTGCATATAAAAATATATTACAAAAAAATGTATGAATGTAAAAAATTAAAATTACATAGGCAATATTGGTCTCATTTGAAAGATCATCACCATGCACCCTTTCTTATTTTTTATTTCTCTTTTCCTTAAAATTGTTAATAATTTTTTATTTTTGATCCGATTTTTATAAAATTTGTATCAAATTTTTTTATTTTTCATGATCTTTCAAATGAGACCAATATTGGTGCTCACCATGCACCGGTTCCACGGTATAAGCACTCGTGAAATTGATATTGTGAAATATATTACTAAAACCAGTTCAACGTAACTTTTCAAATCATGATATTTTTTAAATCTTAATAATAGCAAATTTAATGAGTAAGTATGAGAAATAGTAACATATTTATGACATTATATTTTATATTAGTAAATAAGCTTTGTTTCAATAGTACTTTTGAAAAAGTATCTTTTATGAATGTGTAAAGTCAAATTATTTCAATTAAATAAAAATAGAAAAGTATAGAAATTATTTTCTAATATCTAAAAAACAACAAGTTACGTTCTAAAAAATTATTCAATTGTTGTTGTTATTGTTTATATAAAAAAATCAGGAGTAGTTTTTATCATTTATTTTAGGGCAAAACATATACTAGTACAATATGAAGATACAATCTTTTTATTTTTAATAATAAAAAATAAGTTCCTCTCAATTTTCTTTCTTGATCGCGAGACTTCTCCCTCGCGTACTTTTTTTTATCGTCATTACCCTTCTTAGAAAGAGGAATGAAAGACAAAGAACAAACGCGAGAGAAAGAGATGAAGTAAGAAACTCAAAGTGAGAAGTTATGTAACAACTAGGACAATGAGTGATTAGACCGCAAGGTGTGTAATGACAATCAATTATCGCAAAGAACTGCTGACATTTGGATGTAATTCATTCTTCTAAATGAATTTCAAATATCAGTATATCTACATGAGTTATTGGTTAAGAGATCATATGGAGTATGAGGAGGATCAGCTCCGACTGAACGAACCTTAGAAGTTGTTGGGTTCCCTTCTTAATTGAGAAGTTAATGAGAATTCTAGAATACTGCGGAGATGTCTAGAATTCTCTAGATGTGTGTAGTGAAGTATGAAATGTTCTAGATTATTCTGGAGCTTTCTAGAGAGCCGTGGAATTATCTAGAAGCGTGTGGAAGAGTGTAAAATATTTTAGAACATTGTGGAGTTTTCTAGAGGAGTGCGAAATTCTCTAGAAACATGCAGCAGTGTGTGGAACCTCTAAAACATTCTGAAGAAATATGGAGCTATCTAGATGAGCTTGTGGATACTTCTTAGAAGAATCTAGAAGTGCAGTGGTGTATATAAAGTTTTAGAGAACCTTGAGAAGATTAGTATAAATAGAGGTGACACTCCTCATTCCTAGTCAGTGAGCCTAGAAAGAGCCTTGTGAGAGCCCCCTCAAGTGATGAGAGAGAGAGAGAGCCTTGAGGAGAGCTCTTGTGTGAGTGAGTACCTCATTGAGAGAGGGGTGTGAGAGTGAGGCAATCCCATATACAAAGCGTTGGTCCAAAATAGGATGCTCGTAGGCTTTTGAAAAAGCTACGTAAGAAGGATGCAAAGAAGGAAAGAAGGAAAGGAGCAATTTCTAGAAGCTATTTCTGGCTACCAAACTCCCTCTGCTCGACGTCTTCTGCCTCAGCCTGGCGGTCTGCACACCCTTGTGGAATGGCTTCGCGTTGTAAGGTTTGTAACCTCATAGCAACGATACTTCTGGACCTTCATGATCAGCTCCGCGTTGCAAGGTCTGTACCCCTTTAGAAACGATGCTTCCAAGACTTCGAGTAACAGCTCCGCGTTACAATGTGTGTACCCCTTTAGCAACGGTGCTTCCTTCCTTCCCGGGACG